TGGGGTTATGCATGATGGATGTTAGTTTTACCAGCATCCTTCTGTCCGCCACCTCCTCAATGGAATCCAGAGAGCAGTCCAGGACAGAACCAGCTCTTTTAACCAGCTTGTTGAGTCTCTTTCTGTCCCTGATCGTGCTACTGCCTGCCCAACCCACAACAAAGTAAGAATTTCATTGTACAGGGAAACATGTTTCCTAACTGTGCATATGACAAATAAACACTTTGAACCTTGAACAGCGTAAAAAACTGCAAATGCCACCACAGAATCAAGCAAACAACAACTCAACAGTTTGTTAATATTCTAACATGTATTATGTACTATATTAAAATAAAGACCCTTCAGGCCTGTTTGAACTATCAAAAATCACAATGACATAAAAAAGCTTAACTGCAACCCTATCACGTCATAAAATACTGATGCCAGCCAAGTCCAGGAAAACCCATGACTTCTGGTAGCTTGTGCACTCCTGCCCCCGGGTGGCCTAGGCTGAGTACTTGCACAAATAAAAAAAATGACAGCCATCACCAGAGTGTTTGTCAACTGTTTTTAAGGCTTTAGAAAACTGCTGCCTGAAGTGAGACATGAAAAATATGCTTATTAACCCTCCCCTAGGTATCCAATTGTTCATAACCATTTGAAATGCAAACTTTTTTACCCAACCCCCCTCACATCTGACAGCTAACAGATTTTAGTTCTTTGTTTTATTTTTTCCAAGTAAAAAAGGTGGCTAGTCATATTTCCATTATTTCTGCTCATTCTAAAGCAACAGCTCTGAGTCTTCAGGTAAATCAGAAAGGACAGTGAAGCTGTTAGAAAACACGGTGTATCTCTGCTGGATCTGGGCACTATTGGAATGAGGCAGAGACTCAGACATGCTCTTGGAACGGATGAGAGGTTTTGTCTCAAACGTGGAAGCTGAAGAAGGAGCGGGCAAAACAGTGTCATCACTTCCTACAAGGACAGGACTGCTGTGGTCCTGACTGCTTCTTTGGACTGTGGGGCTTAAGGCTGATATTTGCTGCACTTGGTGCTCATGTGATAACTGTAGGCTGGTCGTGCTGCAGGGCAAGATCAAACATGTAGATCTCAGGTGGTTCAGTTCTTCTTCCAGTTGGTGGATGCGTCCCTCTGCTTCACCAAGGTTTGACTCCAATTCCTCAATTTTTCTCAGATGCTCATTGATGACATTTTGAGCGCTGTCAGCCTCGTAGCTCTGGTGGTTTCCTTCTGCATTCCTGTTTGTTGTACTTTGGTCTGATGACTCTGTGGATACTGGCAATTTTTTTCTCCTCACTGTGTGAATAAAAAAATTAATAAATACTTGGGTGATTAGCATGCTAGCAGTTAGCTCATCAACTGACTAGCTTAACAAGTAGTCACTACCTCACTAAGATTCTTGAACACATTTTTTTAATATACATAATTTTATCATTTCAGTGCTGCTTGCTGGTGTGAACAGGCCTGAACAGCACAGTAACCACTACACTGACAAAGAGCTGAAACAAGAAACTCAAACTATTTATGTCTAGTTTGATGTTTACTCTTTAATCCTGCCAAACAGTCTCTAGTGCTAGCTTCTAAATTGTGAAATTTGTGTGGGAGTTGCCGTGTTTCTTAAAAAACTGGTAAACTGTTTACAGGTAATAAGAAACTGGTTACAGGTAATATTTTAAAGATTTTCTGACACTTTAAAGAACAATCACCATTAAGCTATACTGAAGACACTAAAAGCTTCCCTAGGAGGCAGCATGGTGGTCGGACTTATGTCACCGCCAGAAACAATGCTGGAGTCTTTCCTGAAGGCGCTCCGAGCACTTGCTACCAAAAATGTTTTCATCTATTTCAGCAAATAATGTTCAACAACTGATTTTAAATGTTAATTTTCGACATTTTGCAGTAAACCATTCCTACAAAAGTCATGTGTACTAACTATAGAATATGGCAAAGGCTAAATAACAATTGCAGTTTGGGTTAAATCTTAAAATAAAACATTTCTTCAAGTAACAGGAGAATGGGAACAACTGACATTATGTTTTTAAGACCACGACTTACCACAGCTGTAACATTTAGAGGGAAATTTGCCCAGTAATACTCCACACAAAAAGGTCACCACAACAGCAATGATGATGTTTACAGTGCAGGACCTCATGCAGTCAGCTGAGATGATGATAAAGATGACATACGAGCATTATGTTATTTCAGAAATACTGGGCCATCTGGACAAGTTCAACATTATTTGGAGCTACTTTCTGCCAAGCTGTCTGCTTTTTCAGTTCAGTTTAACCGAACTAAGACATTTACAGCAGTCATTATTGTTAACAACAGTCACTGTACACATCACTGGAGTCTCCTCCATAAATCCACCTATAACAAAAAGGTCAGATTCTGAGAATGAAATGGGAAAAAGTTGAGAAGAAAAATGGGGAAATCAATCACATCTGTCTGACAGTCAAATACCAAATGCTCTTGAATTATCTTGGCCAGTATACTCTCAATATTTACCTACAAATTACTGAAGTAAGATGTAAAATCTTCAGTGCTTCACCAACTCATTTCTTAAAGATATTTGAAACCTTGTTTTCTCATCTGATTCTGATAAACACAACTAGGGTCAAACTGGACAAAAATGACCATATGCTAATAATAAAAACAAGAACAGTGCTAAAACAAGTTTGAGTTTTTAATCCAGATACAGATCATAGCATTTGGACTACTGCTCTGTACAGTAAGTGTGGAGTACAGTAAGGGTTAAAGCATACAGGTGAACTGTTAAAGCTCCAGTGTAGATGTAGATGTAGATGTAAATCTCTGTGTCTCTGGTCTCGTTTATCTGAGGCTGGTGAACTCTGCAGGTCACCCTGTGATGAAAACACATCAGATTAAGTTTTCATTCATAGATCTTCTTGTCGAATTTAAAACTTAATTGAGCATTGAATTAAAATGAAACCTCTCTGTAGCAGCCAGGACAGTCACTCGCTTCGTGACTCTGAAACATCCTGTGGAATCTTGATCTCTTTTTGCATTTTCAGCACTGATGTTTCCCTGATTATCAAGAAATGTAATCTGAGGCGCCGGTGACCAGCAGTTTGTCTCACACTGCAGAGTCACTCCACTGCCAGCGTTTGGAATGAATGAGAGGTTTGGCACAGAGACAGCAACTACAAAAACAAAAACAAACAAAACAAAAAAAACAAAGAAAAAGATTACACAAGGTGCGACTATCAAGTTTTCCATTCAAGAACCAATATTCATAATCATTATGGACAAGACTTTGGTAAG